CATTAAGTACCGATTGTCAAGTAACTTGCACCTTGACGTTTTTAAGATGATGGGGAGCCATTCTAATCTTATAGATTGACATCCGGGACTTTAATAGAATAATGTCTAATAACATTTACTTTTTTTTAACTTTATTAAATATAGAGGTTTTGATCTACTAGATCAAGTCACCCTCATATTACACAAACACATAATCAGACAATGGTAAATTCACGTCAACTATAACAAAAGAATATTTGTTCTTAATACCTTTTGTTTTTAAAGTTTTCTAGCCTTATCCGACAATGGAAAAGCTAAGATACTATTATATAATCCAACAATATTTTTGTCAAAACCTAATTATTTTCTATATACTTACCTTTACCTTTACATCATAATATGAATAGTATCTTCTACAACTCCACATTTGACACAATTTGGTGAATTCACTTTTTTCATTATAAACGCAAATTTGTTTAATGGTATATGTTCGAAACGAAGCCTCCTTGCTGTAATAATGTCAAGAGATGGGCCGAATATTCGTTTCATATTCGGTATTCGGCATATTCGGCAGCTTTACCGAATATTCGGCTAAATCACCGAACATTCGTTAAAGTGGTAACTACTCCAAGCGTCCACTGTACTGAAATGTACGAATTGAATAATGCCATGTCCTTCATAATTTTACTGTTCAAAGTATATTTTACGAGGGCGGCACTGAAAATTTCGGGAATCAAGGAGGTGACACAACATTACTATTTAAAAATGTATTTATTGCTTTTCGAATTATTCTCCGCGAAATTTGACACATTTTTCCATACGATGGAACCAATCATTGAAGCAACCATTCCATTCGGAAGTTGTGGTCTCCAAAATGGCCGTTTTGTAGGCGTCCACAGCTTCTTCAGGTGATGAAAATCTCTGTCCACGCAATTTATTCTTTATTTTAGGGAAAGTATAGAAATCATTAGGACTTCGGTCGGGGCTGTACGGCGGATAGTCTAATAATTCCATGTTTGTATTCTTGCTCTAAAAACTCTTTGGTTCTGTGTGCGGTGTGAGAACTCGCATTGTCGTGATGGAGGATGATGCGGCGGTTGCAGTTCTCTTTACGGAGTTCAGAAACGACCTGTGGCAAACAAATGCTAGCATACCATTCTGCATTAACCGTTCTTTGTTCCTAAAGAGGAATTGTCGTAACATGGCCGGTTTTGGAGACAAACGTGGCCACCATTTTTAGGGTTCCGTAGTCAACTAGGAACCCTTATAGTTTCGCCATGTCTGTCTGTCCGTCTGTCCGTCCTCGCTTAATCTCTGTGACCGTTAGCACTAGAAAGCTGAAATTTGTACCAATATGTTTATCAATCACGCCGACAAAGTGGTAAAATAAAAATTGGAAAAAATTTTCCTATATGTAAAGTGGGAAGTGATTTTTTTTTAATTTCAACCCTAACGTGTGATATATTATTGGAAAGGTATTTAAAAATGAATAGGGGTTTACTAAAATCATTTTTTGATAATGTCAATAATTTCGGGAAATAATCGCTCCAAAAGTAAAAAACAATGTGTGCCCCCCCCCCCCCCCCCTCTAACTTTTGAATCATAGGTTTAGAAAATATGAACGAACGAAAAGTAGAACTTTATAAGGACTTTCTAGGAAAATCATTTTGATCTTGGATGGAAACAACAGTACCCACTGCCGGGAGCAGTTGCAGGAGCGCGGAGCGCTGCTGGAGCGCGAACATAATGGATACCCACCTTTAAACTCATAAGTGGGAACACTTATTATGACGGACGGGAAACTACGGAACCCTACACTGAGCGTGGCCCAACACGCTCTTGGCCGGTTTTTTTTTTTGCAACACTACGTGAACGAACAATTTTTGTTGGCTTATTTTCGAACACACAAACTCGTGACTGGTTTTTTGTTTCGGGTTCGTACGCGTATATCCAGGATTCGTCACCTGATACGATGTTGTATACAGCATTTGAGGATCCTGCGTGGAGTCTTTCGAGAGTTCTGACGCACCAAGTAACGCGAGCCGCTTTTTTGCTCTTCACAGAGCGAATGCGGTATCCATCGGGAAAACAACTTTTTTACACCTAATTGTTCATGCAAGATTATTTGTATTTGACTCATGCCAATGTGTAAAGTTGCCTGAATTTCGCGGTATGTCACATGTCGATCTTCCTCAATCAGCTTACGCATAGCATCAACGTTTTCTTGGGTGACTGCAGTTTTGTGGTTTTGGATGGGGCTTCATCACCAAATGCGGAAATCATCCATTCAACACACTGTTTTTGTGTTAAACCACTTCGAAAGTCATAATAAACCATCGCTCTTGAATTTTCTCGAGTCAATTCCATTTTCTCAACGACTAAACAACTTTGACCACACCTTGTGACAAGACCGAGAATCTTTTTTTAAATAAATAAATGGTATTCGATTTTTAAAACCAAGAAGTTTTCAATTAAAAATATTTTAATATGACAGGAACAGTGGAAATATTCCATTCCCGATACTTTTAGTGCAGCCTAGGTATTTATGGGCAAAATCTACTTGTATAGCGTTATGTTTTTGAGACACTGTAGATTTATTTCCAACTATAGCAATAGAAAACTTGATAAAATGTTTTTGAAATCAAACAAAGAAACATTACATTACAATAGTACATTTCACTTTGGTCGTTATTTTCTCTAAAATAAGTCGAAATGGCAGTGGCAATGTGGCATAGCGTGGATATTCGTCACCCGGGGCCGTCCGGGATTTCGCCCCTCCTCACATTTTTTAGAATTATTTTAATTTTAACTTTAAATATTACAACTTATTGAAAATCAATATACCCACGGCGCAAGAAACCCACAGGAAGTTTATCTTTTAATTGCCGGATTGTTTACAAGACATAACTTTACTAACTTAATACTAGGTAAATACAACAATAAATAATAATAATGAATGTACAATTGGATTTTAAATTATAAATAGTGCTCAACACTTAGCAACCTTTACAGATATTGCAAAAAAGTATACTTATTTACCTATAGTTATACTTAAGGGGCAGACAAAAGCGCCAAAAGTGGATACTTATAGCGGTTCTCAACAATTGAGATCAACTTGGAACTTGGATAGATTACAATATTTGGGTAAGGCCGTAGATTTTGCCACTTTTTTCATAGTCAAGAATAGTTCTCTAATTTTGTACGCCTAGTTTGTTATATTTTCAGGTGATATATTTTTATCTTGTAGCATTATGCCTCACAACACTGTTTTAGTTTATAATTTAACTACAATGGGTGTAATTTTATTTTAAAACGAATTTAAATGTATAGATGACATAAAAGTTGCATATAAAAAGTTATTGTCCATAAAGTGTGATACGAAAACAATAGACTATATTACAGACCTTGTAATCAGTTATACATAAATTCTTAAACGTATAGAAAGTACATTAGTAGAGCTACTTAATTCAGTGTAACATTGAGTTCAAGCGCCATTTGTTTATTCCTTATCCTAGTTTTATAACATGTCTTCAATTTTAACACTTTTATGTTACTTTTTTATGTTACCAGTTTTGAGAGTAATACAGTCTTTAACATAAGAATGGGGTAATTGTAATAATTTAAGTTGGCAACACCAAACAGCCACTTTAGGAAAAAAATAACAAGCGCCATTTTGTGGTCTTTGGTGTGTGGCGTGTGAATGTCACTATAAAAAGTGTTATCTGCGATTTTGGGAGGTAAGTAGACATTTGTTTATGTTCAAAATAGTATCCACGTGTGCGCCAAAGCTAACATTGGTCGAGAAAGCATGTTTTGGCATGAAAATCTGTTTTTTTTTCGTATTATAACCTAATCAATCGAATATTATGTTACTTTTACGTTGCTTTTATGATACTTTTATGTAGCCGGTAACATAAGTTTTTATGTAACGTACCGTAAGTAATTGTAAAGTCTAGTTTACATCTAATCTTATAAAAATGAAAAAAAACCTGCACCATCACTTAAAAGTGCTTGTAAAAATTACTTGTGTACACATGAAAATAATTAAGGATTTATCAAGATAAGATTTATGGAGTAATATGGCGTGCTAGCATCCATAATGAAATTTCCCATTTTCGAGTTTATTAAAAAGTTTATATTTTACTTGTTTAAAGATGCCACTAACGCCGGCGGAAAAGCAAAAAAATTACAGGGAAAAGCTTAAAGCTAATATATCCAGATATAAATCCAGAAAAATATGAGGAGATAAAAAATAAAGCTGCAGAAAATGCTTTGAGGTATTATAGAAATAAAAGAGTTAATTACACAGAAGACCTAAAAGAAGAACAAAGACGAAAATGGAAAGAAGATAGAAAAAAAGCCAAAGAACAATTGCCATCAACGTCGCAGCAAAAGACTACCGACAAAGAATCCGTAGATTTTCGTAATATTCAACGTCGTATTGAATACAAATTTCAGCAAGAAAATATGAGATTACGAAAAGATTTATTTAATTTGTTAAAAAGGTTCAAAAATTGGATTAGATTTGAAAGCGGAACTTGGTCCTTCAATAAATCGGCCCATAGAAAAGGAGCAGTAGATGGCATTGGTGGCGCGCAACAAACGTAAGCTTGATGCGAATATAGCTCAAGGAATTGATATTCCCAATGCTGAAACTGCTTTTAATATACTGAACATGTCGGATACTGAAATTAAAATATTTTTCATTCCAATGGATAATATTAAACCCTTAGATATTAACATACTTCCTATACCAGGAACGATGAAAATCCACCAATTAATGATAAACAGCGTTTTAAAAGTTAAATACAGAAACCTAAGTTGTTTTTGCAATGATTTAAACGGTATGTTATTCCCCTATGATACATGAATTTAAGACAACTGGACCAGACACGAGCAAAACACAGACTAAAGGCAAAAAACGGAAGACAAGTGAAAAATAAAACGTGGACTATCGTGAAAAAATAAAAAGGACAAGAACATATCGAAAAGTAAGTTCATCGTCCGAAAATAGTACGGACATGGATATTGAGTATGCTGATAGTGACGTAACATGTTATATGGAAGAAGATACTTTAGATAATGATGAAGATAATTTGGATAATGTTGATGACGACCTTATTGAAAGAAAAGAAGATAACGCAGAACAAGCAAATACGTTCGATTTGGATGAAAAAACTGGATTTTTAAAGCAAAGGATAGATCCCAATAAAAAAATCAATGTTTTGTCCACTCTGTCTCAAGAATCATGAAAGCAAAAAGTGAAAATAATGAGCAAAGCAATGACGCAGATATAATTAAAAAGAGATGGAATAAAGGAAGTGAAAATAAAACCAAAGGAAGAGAGAAATAAAGCAGAAGATAAAAGTAAAGTTGGATACAGAAACAAGAAAGCGACTCACGTAAATGTAAATGTGATAAAACAACATATTCCTGAAAATAATTATGTGACAATTCTGTCTCAAATTAGGAACGCTCCGGAAAACATTGCTAGTTATGACTTAGGAGAGAGCAATATATTTGGAAAAAGAGGCACAATGACTGAATTAAAAAGTACATACAGTGATACAAATAATACTGAAAATAGAGAAAATAATGAAACTGATTTTACAAAAAAAGGACATGAAGAATATTTTGGAGAATAAAAGTGGCAACAAAGAATTGAATATAGCTCTAGCTAGCTCTAGCTTCTTTTAGCTATAGCTAAAAGATGCTAGAAGAAGAAATAGAGAAAAGGAAACATGCAGACGAAGATGAGACTGGTGAAAATATTCAGACTGAAGAAAGAGAAGAAGATGAGACTAGAGAAATTATGCAGAATCAAGAAAGAGAAGACGAAAGTGGAGAAAATATGCAGACTGACTTTATTTTTATTATATATTTACATAAATGACACAATTATAGTTAGATATTATCTAACATAATTGTGTATTTATGTTAATTTTCGAAAATGTAAATATCTAAGAAAAACATGGAAACATTATATAGGAGTTGTTGAGAGTATAGAAATCAAGGACGGATTAAATTACTATCAAGTAAAATTTTTAACAACTATCAAAGAATCGTTTAATTCTTTGAAGTTTACTTTCCCAAGAAAATTATATATCGATATTATAAACAACAATTCTATCGTCAAGAAAGTAAATTTGGTACAAAAGGAAGAAGCTTCTAAGGAATATTACCTGGAAGAAGATCGCGATCTAATTTTCTTCCCATAAATTACTTTTATTTTGTAAGTATTGGGAGAAACATTTTGATGAGTATCGCTCTATGTTAGAAAGATATATTTTTTTTAATCTTTATTAATTTGGTACTTTTAACAAGATGTTACGCATATTCCATTAAAGCATAAGACATTACAAGGTAACTACTGAGTAAACTAATGCAACCTCTACCGACATTGGTTTGGCTAAAATACTATTGAATATATTATCTAACTTAATAATATTCAATTTACTAACTAAAATATTTCTCTCAGGCTCATTCCTGACAAGAAAAAAATAACTTTCTCAACAATTGTCATACTCTCTTTGTCCTGAATTTGTATTACTTTTGTCCTGTGATTTTACAATTACTTACCGATAAGTTTAGTATATTTAATCAGATTTTTGTTTTAGCTCAAAAGTTCACGAGAACTATCACGTATATAATAATTAATCATACTCGTATTTACTACTCGAGATTTGTAAAAGAGTATATTAAAAAGAATTTTTTATTATTACTTAACTAAAACACTACAAACTGTTGATGTTTTAATTATTTTTCTGTTTTCTCCGAACACCTAACAATTTTTTTAGCTTTTTTATCGCTGAACTGTTTACAAGTTGTTAGCGTTTTTAAACAGTTCAGTGCGGCATTTTTTTATCCAAGTTCGTAATATGACATACAATGTCGCTTCAAAGAGTGCGATATGAAATCAGCCTTACAAAATTATATGTTACTTTTGAGTTACTTTTATGTTACCGTAACATAGAAGTGTCTATGTTACTCTATGTTACAAAGTGGCGAAATCTACGGCCTTACCCATTTATGTTATAGGGTGCCTAAAATTTTGAAACTAATAGTGACAGAAATATTAATTATTTCTGTGACTATTAGTTTCAAAATTAGACTGAAAATGTGCTTTTCGTGTTTTTTCCAAAGCAAAATCTTTAACACAATCGTCAATATCAAAATGTATGTCATGTTCCATTTCCAGAACAGCTAAATTTGATAGTCTTAACGTTGACGCCGTCGAACTCAAATATTTTTTTATTAACTTTAGTTGAATTTTAAAGAAGTTTTCAAGCAACTGGACTGAAAAGGATATGGTATTTACTGATAGAATCAGGCGTTACTTTGCGGAAATCCATTATAATAAAAAATAAAAATATAAATTTCTTCGCAACCTTCCGCTAAAAGCTTAACGGTCAGCCGCCGTAGAGTCTACATTACCTGAGGATGCCTCGTGTAGAGGCGAAACACGTGTCGTATTATCGTCGATGGTGTGTCTTACCTGGAATAGTGGTGTTGGGAGTAGTGGTGCTGGGACTAGTGGTGACGGAGTTAGTGCATGCAATTGAGGGACGGCGGGAGGTGCTCTTCAATCCAGGTAAGACACATCATTGTATTTATTTAGCGGAAGGTTGCGAAGAAATTTATATTTTTATTTTTTACGGTATTTACGTCAATGGTGAACACATCACTCATCTTCGACTTGCCGACGATATATTCCTTATGGAAGCATTGCTGGAAGACCTAAGCACTATGCTCAATGACCTTAATAGTGTCTCCCAACGGATTGTTCTTAAGATGAACATGGACAAAACAAGGTGTTTAATTAGTTATATAACGACACATTAATATTTTTGTAACTTCTTTTTACAATATATGTCCATAATTAATACTAATACTAAAAACCTTAAAATATATATTATAATATTTAATTTAAAGAGGTCTTTAGGAAGGTTGAAGCTGGGTGAAGAGACTAATTTTAGGTCAGCTCTTTTCTGTAGTATTAACTCTATTCTTGGGGGTAAAACAAAGGTTATGTGTAACGTCCATGTCACACTTATGCCAATTGTTGTTGGTAGCACTAAGCTCGAAGTTGTTGACGAGTAAATTCATCTGGTACAAGTAGTCCGACTTGATAAGTCCAACTAACTAACTAACCGAGAAGTTGATTGACGGATTCAAGTCGTCTAGGCAGCATTCTGGAGATTACGACACATCATCTCGTCAGGCATACATTAAAAACTCAAAACGAGATAGTACAATCAGTGTGTGTTGCTAGTGCTGGCCTATGGATCTGAGACGTGGTCCATCAGTGCTGATCGTATGAAGCTCAAGGTCGCTCAGCGAGCTATGGAGAGGGCTATGCTCAAAGTTTCTTTGCATGATAACATTAAAAACGGGGATAACCACATTAGAACCAGAGCAACAGACATAGTTCAACAGATTAGTAAACTGTAAAAGTGAATGGGCCGGCCATACAGCTCGATGAACCGACAGCCGATGGGGAAGAAAGGTTCTCGAGCGGCAGCCTCGGACCGGCAGGCAAAGCGTAGGGCGTCCCCGCACTAGTTGGAGTGACGACCTGGTAAGACATGCAGGAAGTCGATGGACGCAGGTGGCTCGGGATCGTGCTTTGTGGCATTTCTTGGGCCCATGTTCGGCAGAGATTGTTTTGTTTGATTGAATAACTCAGTACTCTCTGTCGCTTGTTGGTTCGTTCACGTCAGTTTGCTGCCGCAGTGCCGGCCAGCCGGACGCCGGGTGGTTGCCAGTTTTATATTCCTCTGCAGGATGCAGGAGTGTACAAGCTTGATTGTGAATGTGGTCTCTCATACATAGGGCAAAAGAAAAGATTATTAAAACCCGCGTAAAAGAACACATAGCTGACGTGAAGCATCAACGTTCCGACTTTCCGGTGAACGGGAAGGCGGCCCCAACCATTACATCAGATTTGATAGACCACAAAATATCGCGAAAGAACATCGATTCCTACCAAGAGGCTATTGAAATTGTAAAGCATCCTAATTTAAAACTAAACCCAAGCATACCACTGCAAGACTTCAAGACAGAGTAAGTTCATTCTGCATAGATCGGACTATAAACAATAATTAAAAAACTGAAGCTACCCCGAGTTAACATTGACATTGGGACGTCAGTCACCTCAGTCGCCCGTGACTATGGGTGCTGGAAAGCACCCGAAACGTCGGGAATTAAAAATCATTTAAAATTAAACGCGATAAAATAAATCCGTAATAGTAGTTTTAATCAAAGTTATGCCGGGTAACCCATTCTGGAGGTTAGCGGGATCCGAGGCACGGTCTTGCTGTTGGCCGACCGCAGGTAGTTGGGGGGCCAAGTAGCGCGCCAGCCACGTGCAAGACATGCACAAACATGCCAGTTGGCGACTGGCTGGGAGGACCCAGGGGCCATTTCAGAGGGGTTCGCTCGGTCCCGTGGTCCCCAAATGAGTTTTCCATAGGTTGGCTAAGCTTCTGAGTCTTCAGTTGGTGTATTGAGCGGCGCCTCGATTTCTCAACTGTTTCTACACTAAAATGAAAAAGTCAAGAAGAAGAGTATGGTAAATCGATGGCTACATTTCCTACCGCGTACCGCACAAACATTAAAGGGGTACACTAACCTCGATCCGGTACACCACCACCTCGTGACCGAAAAGCCTCACCTATTCTTCTTAACGGAGACGCATATAGCAACTCCGTCTGATGTGGCGTACCTGAACTACTCGGGCTACATGCTTAAACATAATTAAGTTCAAACAGCGCGCTGTGGTCTGTGTGTACGTCTGCGATGATATTTGCCGTCGGCGTCTCCGTTGCTTTGCGGTTTCAGGGTTTTCTGCAATGCGACTTCTGGTAGACACTGGTGTCGAGGCAACCCTCTATGCCTGTGTCTATCGATCGCACAGCGGATACCAAGAAACAACCTAGACTCATTGAACACCTGACAGGGATGGCACATAAAGCCTTACAAAGGAATCATTATGCGGAGCTAGGTTTTCTAGTAAGAGTAGAGTAGAGTAGAGTTTAAAGGCCCACCATAAAGAGTGGTTATACCCATTCAAGAAAACCGACCAAAAACCGAGAAAATTCACCAAAAATCGAGAAAAGCGCGCAAATTTGCGTTATCGCTAGATCTCACTCAACTGTTCTGGTGACAACAGACCCAGACAGGCACTTGGTTTCTGTCTTAGCTCCGCTGGGATTCTCAGATCACTGTCTGATAAAATCTGTATTCATTATTT